CATTTAATACATGTCCCTTGTAAGATAACTACAAATGAATTAACTTAATTGCAATTCATTCAATTAAAATAAATATTAATATTTGATATACTAACAGTATAGACAAGCTCACTATCAATCAACCACAAAATAACACATTTTTAATAAATAAAATTAAAACGTTTTAAGTCCTTATAAATATTTCAATAATTTATAACATTTAATTATTTCAAAATTTTAATAACTTTTTGTCCACAAAAACTTTTAATAACTTTTTTCTCTAACTTTCTCTAAAAAAAATCCAGACCTGACAAATAACTATACAACAACAACAGTGATTGGAATTTTGATCACATGCAAATAAACCGTTTTGATAGTCAATACATCCTTCTCAGTTCTCACCTAACTTTAGTTAATGATGATGTGTCATTTTGTGATTGACTGACAATATATAACTTTTATAAATTATCAATGCATCAAACATAAATCCTTAAAATAAACCATATAAAGAGATATTAATGATCTAAGTCACACACCACATCTAGTTTATGTAGTTTGGAACACGTCAATTGTGGTCCTATATTTTTGCTATGAACCAGCTTAATCTTCATTCACTTCTTTAAACTAAAAACATATATTAATGGCCTAAGTCACACCTCACATTTAGTTTATGTAGTTTGGAGTTGGAAGACATCAGTTGCGGTACTATTTAATTAACAAACACTACATTATATTTTAATTTAATATGAAGTGAATTAAAGTATAAAATCTTTATTCTTGACATTTAGAAAAATTTATTGCTACATATTTTATTTTCATATAATCAATCTTACTCTTAAAAGTCATTAACAAAGAATTAAATATATTATTCATATTCCAATTCCAATTTCAAATACTTTTTTATTTTTTTATTTCTCAATAAAATTTTAATATTCCAAAAAATTAGTTATCCTTGCTTCTAATTTTTGGAGTTGTGGTTGACTTTATAGGTAGTAAGTTATAACCATAATCATGGTGAATAACTAATAATAAGTAGCGTAATGAAATTGGAAATTAAATATCAATTAATAAAAAATCATGAATACATTTTTTTTTGTCATTATATTCCCTGTTGTTTGCAGATTCTTACCATGACCGGAGGAGAAAGCACCTCTGTGACAATGACATGGGTTCTCTCTTTGCTGTTGAATCATCCAAGTGTGCTAAAGACAGCGCAACAAGAGCTGGACCTCCACGTTGGAATAGATAGGTGGGTTGAAGAATCAGACATCAAAAGCCTGAAATACCTACAAGCGATTGTTAAGGAAACTCTACGCTTGTACCCACCAGGTCCCATAACGGGGATCCGTGAGGCCATGGAAGATTGTTGCATTGCAGGGCATCATGTCCCAAAGGGTACGCGTTTGATCGTCAACCTTTGGAAATTGCAGCGAGATCCACGAGTTTGGGAAAATCCTGGCACGTTCCAACCAGAAAGATTTTTGACAACCCACGCTGATTTTGATGTTAGGAGTCAAAATTTCGAGTACATTCCATTTAGCTCCGGTAGAAGATCATGCCCTGCAATCAACTTCGGCTTACAAGTTGTTCACTTGACACTCGCAAAGCTGCTCCAAGGATTTGATATTAGAACACCGGACGGGAAGCCGGTGGATATGGGAGAAGGCCTGGGCCTTGCCTTACCCAAGAGGAAACCTCTTGATGTTGTCCTCACCCCACGCCTTGCTCACGAGTTCTACAAGTGCCTTTAGACTTATATTAGATCGTAGATAATAATGGGCAAATTAAGGCCTCGGCTTAGTGGTATCCATCCCTTTCAAGGTAGTGGGTATCTTGCAGGCCTATATCCAATCTTATGTCTTGGCTTCCAAAGGGCTATTGCCCTCAGCCACTTGTGTAAGGGAAAAAAAGCAATATTAATCTAGACCTAGTTGAACCCCGCGTTGCCCCAGGGTGAACTGCATTTTTCTTAATTGGAATTAATAATGTTTTTAGTATTTTATTTGATTGATGAAATTATTAGATTAAAGAAGTTAAAATTTGGGAACATAAAGCAAAATTTACACATTGACAAAGGGGAGTAAGTTCTCAGTTAAGGTTTTGATATCATACTTTTACAAGAAGTTTGGTTTTTAGAATAAAATAGGTTTACTATTCGGTGAGAATAGAATAAGATGATAATAGAATAAAAAATTATTATGTTATTTGATACAGTGAATGGAGTAGATAAGAATTGTTATTATGACTTATTACAGTGTTTTGTTGGTAAAAATAACTTTGGAATAACAAAGGAATAGTTGATAAAAAGATAAAACTATCTTTTATTATAATAACATTTATTTTCATAAAAAACAAAATTATCCTTATTATAATTTAAATACATACTTATCCCTAAAGACAAAATTATCCATAATTATAATTTTATCACATAGTTATCCTAAATGTAAAAAATAATTATAATTTGCCCACATATTTTTACAAATGGATAAAATTATTGTAGATTATAATTTAATCACATTATTATCCTAAATGTCAATTGAATTTTGTATATAAATGATTATTTTTAGCGAATTATTCACATATTGTGGATTATTTTTAAAATATTGTTTAGAAGAAATATTGTAGAAAAAAACAGAAAAACAGGTAGAAATAGAAAATCATTTAGAGAAAAATAGAATTTTATATATCAGTAACATCTCATCATTAATTGTTTGAACTCTTTAAACATGATTAATA